CACACATCTGTTCCCCCCATTAGTGTGAAACATGAAAGACATAAAGAGATGAATACATGTCATTTCAAGTTTTAAAATTGTATTAATTCAGCCCCATATGCATGATGTGACTACACTTAACACTACACAACTGTATGTTTAAAAATGGCTACAGTGACAAGTTTTATGTTATGTACATTTTGCCCACAATAAAAAGCTCACCATCTATCCATTGCTATAAACATAGATGCACAGATTATATATATATGTATGTATGTATGTATTTTTATTTATTTAAAATTAGAGGCTCTGGTGACAAATGCTTTAAGTCTAATTAAAAGGAAACTCACAAAGCCCCATCACCTGGAATACGTTCAAGTTTGAATCTTTAAAGAAACAGGAGGTAATTTCTCAACAGCCAACAAAACAAAAACAAACAAACAAAACAAACCAAAACACACCCCATGTAAAAAACCACCCCCAAACCCAGGGATGGTGAGAATGTCGCAGCTCAGAAGCCAGCGTGGTTTCAGGGTGTGCTTTGGTCTTCTTTCGCTAGCCCCCACTGTACTTAAGAGAAGCGCCCCATGCAAGTAACAGGAAGGACCTTTGAACAGAAATAAACACTAGCCTGTCTTATGTCAAGGTCACACTGCAAAATGCTTGCAAGGTTAGAGGAAGCACATGGACAGAATTTTCAATCTTACCTCCTGACTTAAACAACATTCTGACTCTGAATTTCAGGACTTTTCAGTGCCATCCCTCTGTGCAAAAATACCTGCTTTTCATCTCACTGATGGCACCAGGAAGGCAAAAGGTCCAAGTCTTGGTTTAATTTGGTGATGCCTTTCTTCATAGTGCACAAGGAACCCAGGTTTCTAAATGGCTGATTTTAACCCACTTAAAGAACCCCATCCCTGCGGTTTGCTGTCACCTTGCATCACAAGAGAATTCTTGAAGGTGAACTCAGAAGGCCCCCTCTCTCTGAAGTGAGTGATGGAGAAGAGCCGACACTGATGGCAGTGTGTCCTGTGAGACACTTCACGAGGTCCCTGTGGTAGCTTGGCGAAGCTGATGTTATGTGTGACTGCACGCTACTGGATGGGGAGTGGAGGCTCAGACAGACTAGGTCGCTTGTCAAATTGATGCCCATAACGGGAGGCCTAGACAGGGTTCAAGTTCAAGTCTGTGCAACCCCAAAGCTTTAGCCTTTTAATGATAATATGGTACAGTGTCCCCTTGTTATGGGACAAGCCTGTCTCTCCTTCTCACCTACAATGCAGAGGGCTGAGCTCACCCCCCCACCTGCTTCCAGGCGGGACTCAGGGAGGTGGTCCTGAAACTGAACGGGAGAGGAACTTCTTACCTAGTCAGGTGTAACTACAGATGAGTGTATCGTGTGCCAGCAGAGAGGGAGGCATGGAGCTGGTCAACAACAGAGATGTCATTGTAAAAAATAAAATCAGAACAGAAAAAGGCAAAGGGAAATTGCTTTAGGGGGAACTTTTAACAGCTTTTTAAAGGGCACTGTAATCACCCTAAAGGGGTGACAGGAAATGATCCACTGTGCTTCAAGTGGAGCTTATTCCTTGCTTTTGATTTATCATTCTTAATTAACTGCAGCCTCTGGCTCCTTAATCAAAAATTGCCTTTCGAATGAACTACTATTCTGGGTAAAAAGAAATGCAGAATAGTCCTCCAGTGATGGAGCTCCTTAACTCAGCTTTCTATAAATTCAGCAGGGACGCCCAAGTTACAGGGCAAGCTCCTTTCTTGCTTTAAATGCAGGCTGCAAATAGGCAGAGTCTCTGCCCCTCCAGCTATCCTTCTTTCCACTGGGGTCAGAGACTATTCCTTCTTTCTGCACAAAAGCAATCCCTGGCAATATTTTGCATTCTCTCAAATGATTTCAGGTGTTCTTCTGTAACAGAAGACCAGGATGGGGATGGAGCAGGAAATAAGATGTCACCAATACATAGCCAGGCCCTGTCTCCAAAATGATCCTGTGCTGAATACAGGCAATGCTCCAGACCTGCAGCTTCCATGTCTTCCATTCAACCAACATTCAGAAAAATACTGCCTCTGTGCAGACTTTCTCCCTAACTGTCATTCCCTAAACATCACAGGATAACAATGAGCAACATGGCAGTTACACTGTATTTGGTATCATAAGCAATCTAGTAGGATTTAAAATACAGGAGAAAATGTGCATAGGTTATGAGGTAAATACACCACCATTTCTATAAGGGATCTGAGCATCTGCAGGTCTTGGTATTCTGGGGGTCCTGGAACCAGTCCCACAGATACTAAGGGATGACTGCACATTATTGGCGAGTTGCCTGGCACTCCCATTTTTTCATGTTGAGCATAAAATAAATGTAGCCTTACTGTGGGCGTGGCAGAAGGGCCAATGCTACCCCAGTGGTGGGTGGCTGAGGTGACCTTCTTTCTTGTGCTGTGGTCCAGTAAGGCTGGCCAGTATGTCTACAACACCTGGCATAGTTCTGGCCATTTGACACAAAGCATGTCAAGATGATGGACTGGTTACTTAGCTTGATTTTATAATTTCATATCATATTTATTTATTTTTTACTTTTATCTACCATGAGTTTTATTTGCTGTCAAAGTGACATGAGATCATGTTAGCAGGGAAAGAAATCCCTAATACCACCACACTGGTTGTGACTCCTTAGTGTGTCCTAAGGTTCCTGCCACGCTTAGAAATTGAGACGTTACACTCTCGCCTTGTACGCTGTATCTATATGCAACTATAATTTGTTAATATATGAAATGTAAAAAAAGAACAGGAATTCAGAAAAAAATGAAAATGTCAGTGGAAGGCAAAAGGAAGAATTCCTTGTAGGGTTACTCTGTGTCTATGACACAGAGAAACCTTTGGAAATTCTGCCACTAATTTTCTTTTCCCTGCTACATTCCCCCTGAACCGAGCCTTGTTTTGTGAAGTCATCATTAAAAACTGCCATTGCCACCTGGGGTGGGCCAGTTCACGTCAGATGACAATGGTCCCAGGCACTCACAGCTGATTTGGGAGGTGCTTTCTTCAATTTTTGGTTTGTCTGCTTTTGTTTTTGTTACAAGGTCTTGCTATGTAGCCCAGGCTGGCTGTGAACTTGTGACCCTCCTTATCTCACCCTCTCCAGTGTTGGGATTATAGATATGTACTGCCGTGTCTGGCTTGGAATTACTTGACAATAGTTTGTGTAGAATGGCAGGATTACACCAGGCATTATAGACATGCTGGTGAACTTTCTCTAAACCATGGTACAAAAATACGGTGTCACTTCAGCCGTCTAACACTAGGGTAGCTTTGGGCCCTCAGCCAGGCCCCCTGCATGGCTTCATCTATTTTATGTCAACATCTGCTGGGAATCCCCAATGAGAACATTCCGACCAGAATGTTTTCTTAATGCTGACCCCAAATCTCCTCTCCAAATCTGGACCACCTGTGAAAGTCAGAATTCATCCCACAGTCTGGCCACAGGGCAGACTTTCCTACGCTGCCATCCCATTCATTTCGTAAGTCCATCCTTCTAGGAACCTTCACTGAGGGCACATGACCTCCCTCACAGCAGGGATTCTATGCTTGCCCTGGCTCTGTCATCATTCTTTTAAGATGAGTCACTTGGTCACTGCTCTCCTCCTCAGACACGTTTTTGAACATGCCTGAGCTCGGAAGAACACAGCCAATGATGAGCTATCATTGTACCTCTTCACCCAGCTGTGTCTCCTTAGAGCTGTGGGACACTGGGCTGGTGACTGCATCTCCTTGTGCTTCAGCAACACCAGATCCTGCCCAGTAGGGACAACAGGACTGAAGAAGTGGACACCTGCTAAGTGCACATGTAGGTGGCACACCTCTGCTGTTGCTGATGTAACTCTAAATTTACAAACACTGTTACTAAGCCCTGTCTTTGCTTTTGCTTTGCTTACACTGTTGACTTCCATGAGCAGGACTGAGGAGTAATGTCACTATCTGTGACATCTGAGAGACAGACCAATAGAACATGTAAGGAAAGTAAGTCCTGGGAACTCAGACTTTGTCTTTAAGGGTCATTGTCTAATGTGTTAAAGAATATACGAGAAAACCATGTAACGGAAAGCAGGGTGGTGAGCAGACACTGTGCACATATGTTCACAGCAGTGTTATTTACAATGACCGTGAGGTGGAAGCAAGCCAGTGTCTGTCAACAAAATGGGGTACAGACATTCAAGGAAATATTCAGCCCTAAAAAGGAAGGAAATTCTGACACGTGTTACAACACTCATGAACCTTATGGCTTGTTAGGAACAAGCCATAGTCACAAAAGACTAATATTGTAAGATTCCACTTACATGAGGTAACAAAATGGTGGAAGTCAAAGACAGAAAGGAGAATGGTGTCTGCCAGGAACTGTGGGGAAGGGACCGGGGAACTGGTAAATGAGTCCCAAGTTTCGGTGTCATACACTGAAAAGAGTTCTGGAGATCGGTGCACGACCATGGAAATGGACTTAACACTGAACAGTGCACTCAAAAATGGCTAACACGATAATGTTATGGAATGTGTGTTCTACCACAATGAAAAAAAAAATAAATATATATACAAGATGCTCAAGAAAACCAGTGAGGAAAGAAGCATGGCCCATGGGGACAAGGAAAATTCCTCCCAAGATTTCCCAAGCTTTGCAAATGGCTCAGAAGCCTCCTCCCTGGACAACCAGTCCCTGCAGGTGTCAGCTGTTGACCCCTGGTGTCCAGAACACCACCTCCACATGGCCTGCTGTTTGGGGGTAGCAGAGAATGGTCTTCAAGAGCCCAGGTTTCAGAGCACTGGGTGGGTCTGCCCTGGACACAGGGACACTGTTGATGGCTTACAGTGTGTGTATTTGAGCGTCAGCTCCCTTCTCTGCAGGGCTGTCATGAGGACTACAAGGCATGATCCATGCAGATAAGCTCTCACACTGGCCTTGTGCAAGACACGACAGCCACCATCACCACTGTGCTCGCTCGTCACTTCTTACCTGAACATCATACAGGAACTGGAAATGGCTGTTTTTATTCGCAGCTTCTCTCACAGCCTGGGCCAAGTCCACCGACCCTTTTCCCCCAAGTGACCAGTGATAGCAGGGAACAGCATCAAAGGCACCGGCCCGCCTGGCAAGCTCGCACACCAAGTCAATCTCTGCGCGGGTGTCCGTCCTGGTGATGAAAGTGATTGTGGTTTTGCATCTGTGTTCACTTAGCCAAGTTTTCAAAGAAAGACTAACCATTTGTACAGAAACTCGCTCCCTAACACTGAATATATTTTAAACATCAAAAGTGGTCACACTGTTTTTAAATAAATCAGACTTAAAGAAAAGCGTAGAAAAAGAATCCTCTACAACACAGTTTAAATATTTCAAGTTGTTAAGGGTTTTTATGGAGAAAATTCCATATTTCCCTTTGATCAATCACAGTCTCTCAGACAAATGCTGGGTGGAATTAAAAAAAAAAAAAGCCAACAAAATGGTAATTCGTATATAAATTTCATTTCCCTAGTAACATTTTGAGAACACATTGGTTAAAATGAAACCAAACCAAACAAACAAATAGAAAGAGCTGAGTATTCTGTGACTTTTAGACAAAGCCAAGAAAGACCAAATACCCCCACGGCATAAATGTAGTCTATAGGGTGGCCCCGAGACAGGACCACACTTAAGAGATGGAACCTAACTCACTTGAAGACATTCAGGGCCACCACAACGGAACCCCGAAGAGCTGAGCAATCTGAATTTGCTTCTGTAGGTTACAGCAACCGTCAGCCACCAGCTGGATGTTCTGGAAGGAAACCAGGCCCCAGTTAGTGCCTCCTCCAAACTAAACCAGTCTCACCATACTGGCAGGTTTGGCTGACGTCATTCCTTATTCTATTGCCATAGAAACTTTGAAAGAAGACCGTAATTCACTTTCTGCCTGCGAGAAAGATGGTGTGATCCATTTTCAAAATGGGTCCAATGACATATTTGGTTCTGGAGGCTTTTAACTGTTTCTGCAGAGGAATGGCTGCCAGGAGATGTGTGCCTCCTCCTCAGCCTGCTGGACAAAGGCACAAGGCCGAGGCCCAGGGGTGGTGAGGAGCCCTGCCAAAATACTCCTGGCTTAAATCCCTGGTGCCACCCGTAGGAGCTAGAAGGAACTATTCCCAGTAAATCAGTGCATTTACAGAAGCTGTGTCACTTATAAGCCATATAGCCAACTGCACAGCTTCTGAAAGTCAGTTTTATCTATCCCAAATAAAGACACAGAAGCTGGGCATGTCTGATTCCAGCACTGGCATGACTGAGGCGGGAAGATCTTGAGTTCCATGCCAGCCTGGGTTACACAGTGAGCTTGAGGCCAGCCTGGGGCTGAAAAGTGAGGCCTTGTCTCAAAAAACCTGAGACCAAAACCAAACCAAAAACCACCAAACCAAACCAACCAACCCAACCCCTCAACACAACAAACAACATCTCCAAAACAAAAAAACCCATGGGTACAACAATTTGTAATTTTCTTTTTGTCCCAGAGACCTTGGTCTCTTGATGGCATGAGGGCTGCCTGGGAATACAGACTAGGAGTCAAGCCTGCACCCATCTTTTCTTGATTTAGGAGTTGAAGTCTAGAGACGTAACTCACCAACAGAGTACTTGTCTAGCAGTTGTAAAGCTCCACATTCCCTCCCCAGCACCATGAAAAGAGGGAGCTGAGTGCTTTTACTCCTTTACCCCGCCCATTTCCTCTCAAGCATTTCTAAGAGGCTGCTTGTGGGAGGCACATTCACTGACTGTCACCTGGAAGCCAGCGATGAAGTAGACTTGAACAACTCTTCACATAAGCAGCTAAATAGTTCCCCTTACCTCCTCGGTATATTCTTTCTTTAGAGGGACACCAGCTGTTACCTAAAATAAGAAGAGACAAAAATTAAGAATAATCCCAGGAAAATGCTTTCATAAGTCATGGGTTTGGGGAAGGTAGCCCTATTTTTAACCAATAGCTGGTATTACTGACTAAACGTTAAGTCTTGTGGGAAACTTCTTAAAAAACGCTGCTGCCTGGGCCCCCTCAGACCGATGAAGTCAGGGTCTCTGGGACTGATGCTAGCTTGAGCCCATGTTGAGAGTTTTCATACAGTTGCCCATTATCCTAACGTAAAATGGAACTAAGAATGTTAATACATGATTTATACAGACCGACAGGGTCATTAGAAAGAAATTGCTATTTTTCTTTTTTGGCTTCGCTTCACACAATACCTTTTGGGGTTGGCAGAGCAGTTTAAAGATGAGCAAGCTGAGGATCCACAGTAAATGAGAGGCAAAACAGGGACCTGAACATGCCAGAGTTCTGAACGCCAATTTAGTTCCTGTCAACAATTCCCCATTGCTTTCCTGCAGCCAGCCTGCTGTGCTTTTTGTGAGACGCACTAGATTCACTTCAATTCACCTAGGATATGATGGTTTTCTTTCCTCTCATTGGAAGAGGTCATGGAAATATTAGAATTCCTTTGTGACAGATGGTTTTTGATAGGATGTAGGAACAGAATAAAGTATTTTCAGATGGGTTTTCCAGAAAGAGCATAGAGTAAAACCTCTCAACTGGAACAACTAAAATGCTGGAATGAAAATAAATTTAGGACCGGGGGTGTAGCTCAGTGGTAGAGCACTTGCTTAGCATGTGTAAAACCCTATGGTCCATCCCCAGCACTGCAAAAAAGAAAGAAAAGAGACAAAAAAGGGAAGAAAAGTGAAAGGAAAGAAATTAAACACCAATGAGCACACATGCTTGTACACAAAGTTCTGCAGAATCCAGTCAAAAAATTGAGCAAAATCCAAATAAAAATTTATATAAAAGCAAAAAGAATAGTATATAAGCAAACTTCAAAAAAAGTAGAGAAACAAGCCAAAAGTTGGTTCTTTAAAACTCTGATAAGACTTCCAAAAAGAAGAGGAATGAAAAAGATTAAAACTTCATATGCTTAGACAGAATTACCAGGTTATCATGACCGACTTTACCAATACTTTTGAAAACATAAAATAAGAGAAATCTGCAGAGGGGTGACTTTTATTAAAACCCACTAAAGAAGAAATAAAAAATCTATCACAGTCTTATCTTCATTAAAAGATTAAATTGATAGTTTAAAAAAACCTACCCTCCCCCCCAAGGGCAACAAGGCTAGATGGCTTTACAGCTGAATTCTACTAACTTTGTCTTTATTTTTTTCTGGGGCTGGGGGTTGAACTCAGGGCCTCACACTTGCTAGGCAGGTGCTCTACCACTTGAGTCCTCTACTCAACTTTGAATAAACAAATTACTCTAATGTTACACAAACACATAGCCTAGAAACCCCAGTCCCCCACAGAATCCTCTGTTTGTGTGGCTAACATCTGACTCATGCAGATACCAAAATACAACTCAAAACATTAGCAAACCAACTAGCAAAATCCAGTTATTCATAAAAAGATAATATATGTCCAAGTTGGATTTGTTTAAATGTAAGGTTTATTTAATATTTGGAATAATATTTTAAGTAATAGTTTACAAGAGAAAAACCAAATCATCAATGTCTCAAAAGATGAAAAGAACTCTCCATCTATTTATATAATAGTTTGGCAAACTAAGAATAAAAGGTAATGTCAAACTTACTAAGGATCAACAGCAAGGCTGCGTGTCATGGTACATGTCTGTAATCCCAGCTACTTGGAATTTGGAGATTGAGAGGAGAACAGTTTGAAGCCAACCTGTGAAAAACAGGGAGACCTCCATCTCAACTAACAAGCCAGCGTAGTGGTGCACACCTGTGGTCCCAGCTACTGGGAGGCATGGGGTAGGAGGATGGCCATCTAAAAGGCCAGTCCCAGGCAAAAATGTGAGACCCTACCTAAAAAATAACTGTAGCAAAAAAGTGCTGGGGGCATGGCTTGAGCAGTAGAGTGCCTGCCTAGCAAGCATGAGGCCCTGAGTTCAAACCCTAGTACTGCCAAAAAAGGGGAGAAAGGTGTAAAATTCCATACATTAAATAAAAATCCCAAGAAAGATTCTTTATAGAACTTGAGCTAATTCTAAAATATGTACGGGTTTTGAGTATAGCTCAGTGGTAGAGTGCTTGTCTGGTATATGTGAGGCCCTGGGTTTGATCCCCAGCACCAATAAATAAATAAATGAAATAAAAATAAACAAAACAGATGGAAATGAAAAGAACCAACTGTAGGCCAGGTGCACGTGAAGAAACAGAACCAAGTGAGCGTGTCTGTCTGGTGTCCACATGGCACGGGCACAATTACATGTAAACAGGCCAGAGCAGCTGCAGGGAGATCCCAGGAAAACACCTGCACAGGGATGAGAAGCCTTCTCCCGGGGACAAAGCCAGGACACCTAACTACATAGAGCGAACCACTGGCTTCTCAGCTGAGAAAACTAAAAGCAGACTACCTGCTCCACATGCCGAAAGAGTAACAATGGATGTGGTGGGGCAGCAAGGTGCCCAGACACCTGGTCAAACATTATTCTGGCTGTTTCTGCAAGGGTGTGTTTCTACTGAGATTAACATGTTAACCAGGGGGCTTGGAGTGCAACAGGACTTTATGTCCTCTATAACGTGGGTCAGTCTCAACCAATCGGTTGAAGACCTGATTACAACAACAAGACTGGCCTCCTCCAGCCAAGCAAAGGACAATCTCCCAGCAGACATTCTTCAGACTGGAGCTGCATCAACAGCTCTGCTGGGACTCCATCGTGCTGGGCAGATTATGGACTCGGGGTTCATAATTGCGTGACCCAGTTCCTCATAATAAATCTCTCTCTTGTACACACACACACACATGCACTCACTCTCTCTCTCTCACACACACACACACACACACACACCACTGGCTCTATTTTTCTGAGAACTCTGATTAATTTAATGGATTTAAAGAACTAATTGAGGATATCAGATTTTGTATGGCCCTCCCAAATGATGACTTTGGAAGACAGGGATGCAACGACTGCTGATAAAATGGGCACATTCAAGGGTCACAGGATTTTTCCACTGTACGAAAAGTAAGCCCAATAAAAATAAAAGAGTCATTATTTATATAATGATATCAAAATGAAACAGAAATTGTAACAGGTCAAAAACATTAATGCAAAGTTAATCCAAGTAAGAAGGAAAGACACTGAGGTGGCAGAATGGAATACAGGATTAGAAGATGAAAGCTCATTGTTACTCACTTACTAAAAACATTTCCTGGACACCGCTATGGCAGGCAGTAGGGGTACAGCACTACTAACACATGGGCCCTAATGTCAAGAACTCTGAATTTGAGTAGGACACACAAATTAGACAATCATAAAACAGTATGAGGCAGAAGGTGCTGCTGGAGCCGGGAGAGGGATGCTTAGCTCCGATGGCCTGACCAATCCTCCCTTTTATTAAACTGTCCACCCGTGCTACAGTTTGGGTCCAAAGTGTCCCCCAAAGGCTGACATGGCGCAGGCTTACCTCACAGAGCGGTGCTACTGGAGGCGGTAGAGCCTTGACAAGGAGACTAACTGGAGGTCTTTACGTCATTGGTGGCGTGCCCTCCAAGGGGATGTGACCCATGCTCCCTCTTCCTCTCTCTTTCATATCCCAGACATAAGCAAGGTGAGGAAGTCTGCTCTAGCACAGGCTCCTGCCATGATGTACTGCCTCGCCACAGGCACAAAACCAAGGCCACCTGACCACCCCCCAAACTGTGAGTCAAAATAAATATTTACTCTGTATGAGGTCTTATGGCAGGCCATTTGTCACGGTAGCAGAAAGCTAACACAACCTGTATCTGTCCCTACTAACCCTGATACAATCGTCACTGCCATAGAACCATGACAAGAGGTGGAAAGAAAACATCACCACTGAAACAGAGCGAAAGGACAAATGGCATTTGACAGTTTATCACACATATCAATATTACAATAAGAAAACTTCAGTTTCTTTATGCCAAAATGATCAACCGATATAAAATTTCTTTTTTCCTCCACTTGGAAACTCTTAAATTGGGGGAAAAAACCCAAATCCTATACTTTTCTGGCTATAAACTGTATACATAGCAGTAAATGTCAAAAGTCTTTTAAAAAGTTAAAATTGTGTTCTCTAAGTAGAGCTCACTAGACGCAATCCAAAGCTGTAAGAGTCACGAGACGAAGTCATAATAAGCAGCCACAGAAAGAAAGTGGTTTTCAGTGAAATCTGATGTGTTGTAACATCGGGGAACCAAAAAACTGTACAAACACTGAACAACCCTCAGCCATCAAAGAGCTCTTCGTGCAGGAACCACAGCCTCTATTGCCCATTGCCATGTGCTGGCCTGAGCATCAGGGATGAGTCTGAAGACCAGAGGGGCTCCGTGATGCTCCCTTCCAAAAGACCATTTAGAAGTCATGTTATGTGTGAGTTAACTGAACCCCAAGTGCCCTGTGGTGGTGATCTGTGAAAAAAGGTTTCAAAGAGGAAATATTCTATGAATATAGAATTTTTAAACCTGTTGAAACCATAAGTATGGGACTAAGGTAGAAAGAAGAAAAGTAGAGGGGATGAACCAGTTTGGCCTATAATCCATATATACATGGAAGTGCCACCAGGAAACTCCCTGTGTAGCTATCTTAAACAAGCAAAAATGTCATTTCCTTTTCTTCTGCAAAATTGGAGAACAGGAGGACGGAACAGGTCCCACGGGGAGGGGTTGGGGGAGGTGGTACCAGTTGGAGGGGGAGGAGGTGGGGAAAGGGTGTGGGAGGGTGAATATGGTACAAGTACTGTGTACACATGTATATAAACAGAAAAAATGAGACTTGTTGAGACTGTTCCAGCAATGGGGTAGGGCAGCATAAAGGAGAATGATGGAGGCTATGAATTAAAGTGTGATATAGTTGATATGTTGTAAGAACTTTTGTAAATGCCACAATGCTCCCCCACCCAACACAACAATAAAAAAGAGAAAAAAAAAGGAAGACATTCTAGAGAACCTGAGGCAAGAAGTAGGCATGAATGTTTCAAACGCTGAACTGTTTTATCTTAACACATATATATCACGTTGTATATCACACACGCACACACACGCATTATTGGGAAGGAAGTGTGGGACTCACACTGGCCCGCCTCCATGCATTTTCAGAGCTCGCACCGTGGCTACCAGCACGACCGCATTGGGCACCAGGCCAGAAGCTCTGCATTTGATGTTGAAGAATTTCTCCATCCCAATATCAGCCCCAAAGCCAGCTTCAGTCACTGTGGGGAAGCAAGGTGGAAATAGGTTATCATTTTCTAAGAACACAGTAGGTTTGGGCAATCATTACCATTAGTTAATAATGATTCTGGCTGGAAGGAGAGCCCAAATTCCTCTCCACGTCTAGGCTACACTGCAGCCTGTGCCTATGCAAGGGGGAACTAACTTCCTCCAGGTTGTGGAAGATGCTGTATTTTGTGACACACCACCAGGCCTAAAGGATTCATTGCCAAAGTCATGAATTTTTTCCCCCAGCACTGTAACTCAAAACAAAGCTTTTCTTAACACAGATGAGATTTGCAACTTTGTAATCAGGCTCTAAATTGTATCAAAGGGCAACGAAAGCACAATAATGATCCTACAGCCTTTCTTACTCTTCATAATATTTAGAATATGGTATTGTATTATTTATTTTAGTGTCACTGTTTCTGTTGAAGGACAAGATTCAAGTTAGTTGAGTGGCTTAAGGATGTTGATTGTGAGTCCTGAGCAAGAAAGCACCTCTATTCCAGAATCACAGATACTCATTTCTCTGCATGTCCCTCCCCCGCCGTGACAGAAATCGCTGTGGCATGAAGGGAGGTGGCAAACAGAATACTGACATTGTCTTCTGAGACCGTGCTAGACACCTGCCAGTACATCTTCAAACCCAAGGGAGTGCTCCAGGGCCTTGCTACCCATGCACCTGGTAGTTTGTGAGAAAGCTAGGATGGTTGAATCAGAATCTGCATTTTAACAACAACCCCAGGTGTAACAACTGTCCATTACAATTTGGAAAGCACTCTTCTCTAGGAAGAGAGCACTACTGATATAAAAGGTATTTTATATACCTTTTTTATATGTAGGTATTTTATTATACCTATATTTATGAAATATGTACCAATTCCATGTGCATATGCAAAGTGAGCAGCCAAGGCCAGAACTCTGGTACAGACAGGAACTGGTGGCAAAAAATTTTCCAGTTTATAAATAAATAAAAAACATTTGGGAACTGGGGATGCAGCTCAGTGGAGAAGGCTTGCTGAGCCCTGTGTTTACTCTAGCACCACTGCGCACCCACACAAAGAAAAGGAACAAATGAAGGTATTTATCCCTACCATTCACAGGATTTTAACAAAATTAAGAAATTGAAGGGAAAGAAACATAAAATTTCCCATGTACTTTCAAACTAACTCCATCTAATTCTTTTTTCCTTTTAGTACTTTATATGCCTGTGTAAGTTTTTCAGAATAAGTAGAATTCTGTAACCTCTGCCTGTAAAATCATTTTTTTCCTTACTGTGCTACAAATTTTATGATTACACGTCAACTTATCATTTTGCTGAGCTGACGTAGCAAAATTTACAAAATTGCTCTCCCTGTTCAAGAACATTTGGCTGATTTCCAACACAAATAATGCTACAATGAAAATATCAGTGCATGTGAGCTTTAGTTTCTTTCAAATTATATTTGGGGATAAATTCCAAAGGTGAGGTTATGGAACTAGAGGTTATAAAACATTTTATGACCTCTGATAGGCTTTTGACAAATTACAATAGATTCTCTGAAAATATTCAATTTGGAATAAATATAGCTGCAAGCTATTTTATCCTTTGTTATATTTTCTTTGAACAAACATGGCAGGACAATTTAAAGAAGGACATTCCTTTTTACATTGTATTTTGGAAAATTCTCGTGACTCAGTTAGCAATGGTCAAAACTAGAGACAGCTGAGTGCATGACAATCCTTGCCATGGAGGAGCAACTGCGTGTTTCATCACACTGATATTGGCGGGCCTGAGAACAGGAGTCATTCAGCTGACTTCTGTCACCAGTCATTATGGAGGGGCTCCCATGCAGGAAAGATGAATGGCTGGCAACTTTGGAATTGCGTAAGACCATCCTGTAGGGATGGGATGCTGAATCCTCCCCAGCTGTGCTATCCTGGTGAGTTATTTAAGCCACCTGAGCCTCCTTGTTGGGACAATTACCTGAGACACACAGCAATGGTGGGTGGGCATTGCTGCTAATAAAAGTACAGTTCTCCCATGGCCAGAAATCAGACGCAGTTCTTAAGCATCTGCTGAATTCTGCAATGTCCAGGGGTTTTCCTCAGTGGTAGGGACTCAGTCTTAGGGGCCCTATGTTCAAGCACTTCCAGGAAGGAGGTGACAGACTTCCTCTATTCCCGAGAGAACTGCGGGGCAGCACAGGGGTTGGGAGTGGAGGGAAATGCCTGGGAGTTTGGGGGAAAAGTGACAGGGGCAGACAGGATTTTTCCAGGTAAGGAAGTAAGGAGTTAGGTGTGGGGGAAAGAGGGTAGAGGAGAGGGGCAGAGGAAAGAAGGGATTCAAGAAAAGGTTAGTGCAAGAGCAGAAATGGGCTTGTCAGGGAGAGGGAAAAGGAGAGAGGAGGGGAAAGCGTTCACTGTGACTGCAGAAGCCACTACTTCCATCAGCAGGGTGTGCTCTCTGGCCATCAGCGCTGAGAAGGGTTCAAGGAGAAGTCTGAATGAAGCATCTTTTTCAGTGACTCAGTATTGGGAACAGTCATGTAATGTCACCCTACAGTTGGAGGTATGAGGCTGTGTGCATTTTATATATGGGGGTCAACCGAGTGCTTCTGGTTTCTTTCCAAAGAGATGCGTGTTTACATGAGGAGGTACTGTTAGACGTGGAGTCCCTGGGAAGGGGGACCTTATCCAAGAGATTAACATAGCAAGACACATGGAAGGCATTGAATGAATGCGCAAATATTTCCAAACCAAGAGAGGGAGTTGCACGATAGCGACTTCTGGAACACTTCTCACAAATGTGTGTGAACAACACCTTTCATTCATAGTCATTCGATCGCCTTGAAAAGTTGAAAGCTCAAATTGCCTTCAAAAAGCTAGCTCTCCTCTTCCTCAACTCTCGCATGTGGTCACCATGTCCTTCACAGGCTCCCTATTATCTAATGGGGATAAATCCCCAAGGAACTTCCCATAAAAGCCAAGGCCACCCTCATGTAGCATGAGGACCATACACCCCTACCTTTTCCCTCCACACTTACACTTCGGTAACACTGAGCTTCCTGTGGGGCCCCCCACCATGTCACTTACCATCTTCACTCTTTTCTTTCATCTAGAACATTCCTCCCTCCCATCTCTGGTTCTTTAAACCCACTGTCCAAGCCTCAGCTTGATGGGCATTTTCTGGAAGCTTGTCCTGACACCCAGGGAGGCTAGCTACCCTTCCTGCCCTTCTTGCCCTCCTTCTCCCTGTACCTCTCCTAGCCCTCAGGTTTGGTCTCTGTCAGTGCCTGCTGCACGCTAATCAGACTGTTCTCTCTCTCACCTCTAGGGCAGGGACCCTGCCTTACTTTCCAGCACCTAACACTGTCCCTGGCATGAATTACCAGAGCAGGATTCAGGAGCCAGTGATGATGTACAGGTAATGATTCAATGCAGACAGATGCATAAAGCAGAATTTAAAGTAAGGTTAGTCCTCCCTATTACACTCCTCTTTTGTCTTAGGATACTCAAATAGTTTTAACAAAAGGTACAAATGCCATCTCAGATGTCGCCTAAGCTATTTAAGCTAAATTTCATATTTTTGAGAGGCAAATGAAACGAAATGAAAAAAGTGGTAATAAAGAGGACTTCAGTTAGGAGAAGGAAAACCGGATGCAGTTGTAAAGGTCCAGGACCTCTGGCTTCAAATGCAAAGGAAACACGGAGGCAAATAACGTGCAAAAACCAGATGAAAGTGCCAAGTTCTCCTGCTTTGAAAACTGTTCTGAAATAGTGCGTGTAATCACTTTCATGTTGTTTTCAAATATCAGGCTGCCAAGGAAAACAGAGAGAGCATGAAACAGCAGGCTGGGGTGTAATCAGAATTTATAAGAGTTAAGACCCACTCTGATAAAGCATCATCGTAATCACGAGCGTGTAATCCGAGCTCCTGGAGTGCTGTGCCTCTGTGCCTTAGCACCTCCAGGATCCTACCTTGTGAGAGGGGACAAGTCACTCCTATTGGCAGGCTCCAGGTCCTATGGACTTCCTGGGAATTTCCAACATATTTGAGCTGAAATAAGCAATGTATTCCCTTATCATACTTGCTTCCCTTAATCAATTTTAAGAGATTAGGCTAAAGAATTATTTAATATGGACTTGTCCTTGAGTCATGAAGCAAATCCAGTTACTATGATTTAGCTTTCCTGAAGAGTAGGTGATATACTTCTGAAAGCTGCATATTTAACCAGGATGCAAGACAATGTTTGCACAAGCCACATGAGTCTTTGTCTTGGCAATTTCTTTTCTTTTGTTCGGCTATTCAGCTTTCACCATGAATGAGAACAGGAAATGCTGATGAATGCTCTCATGTAAGCACAGAAGTTATTAGTGACTGCAGCATGGCTTGATTCAAGCGTCAAAACGCATCACAGTCTCAGAAAGAAGGGTCAGTGGGTCAGAGCTGGAAGACTAACATTTGGACAAATACGGTTAGTGACCGTCACAGGAAACAAGTCTGGGTGCAGAGGGAGGGTGAAAACCAGGCAGCTGGCTGTCCATGATGACCTGCCATGGCAACCAAAATTCTTGTGTAAAAATTTAGCAACAGTGATAACAAAAACACTCAAAAAAACTCCAAAAAAACAAAAAACAAAACACTACTGGCAGGCCTGCGTGGCACCCATGGAGTTCTTCTAGGAGGGAGTTGGTTTTATACAACAGATTACTATATTGGTTTCCTAATTTGCTGTACACAAGAAAACTGCAGTGACAATTAAGACTCAGAAAATATAAATGCATGGAATTCTGGAACGATGAAGAAGCTTAAGAGACAACGTATTCAAACTTCCTCCTAGCTCCTCAATTACCTTCTTGAGATAAGGACAAGGAGTCCACTGTGGTGTCCCCTCTGCTGCTCAGCCCAGAGCTCTCACTATGTCCTCACATGCTCTGTCACCTGGAATTCCATCCCAAAGCACTTTTTGTTAGACGTGGATATCACAGAACTTAGGAAAAACCTTCATTTCCTTTC